TTTGTAGACCTCAAAGACAGAATTGTCTCGAGGCACAAGGCTGGGGAAGGTTACAGAAACATTTCTGCTGTTCTGAAAGTTCCAATTAGCACAGTGGCCTCCATCATTCATAAGTGGAAGATGTTTGAAACCACCAGGACTCTTCCTAGAGCTGGCCGGCCATCTAAGCTAAGTGATCGGGGAAGAAGGGCCTTAGTCAGGGAGGTGATCAATAACCCGACGGTCACTCTGTCTGAACTCCAGCTTTATTCTGTGGAGAGAGGAAAACCTTACAGAAGGAAAACCATCTGTGCAGCAATCCACCAATCAGGCCTATATGGTAGAGTGGACAGATGAAAGCCACTTCCCACCTGAAATTTGTCAAAAGGCATCTGAAGGACTCTCAGACCATAAGAAAGGAAATTCTCTGGTCTGATGAGACTAAAGTTGAACTCTTTGAAGTGAATGCCAGGCTTTACTTTTGGAGAAAACCAGGTATCGCTCATCTTCAAGCTAATAACGTCCCTACAGTGAAGCATGGTGGTGGCAGCATCATGCTCTAGGGATGTTTTTCAGCAGCAGGAACTGGAAGACTAGTCAGGATAGAGGGAAAGGTGAATGCAGCAATTTACAGAGACATCCTGAATGAAAACCTGCTTCAGAGTGCTCTTGACCTCAGACTAGGGCGACGGTTCATCTTCCAGCAAGACAATGACCCAAAGCACACTGCCTAAATATCAATGGAGTGGCTTCACAACAACTCTGTGAATGTCCTTGAGTGGCTCAACCAGAGCCCAGACCTAAATCTTATTGAACATTTCTGGAGAGATCTGGAAATGGCTGAACATCGTAGCTTCTCTTTCAACCTGATAGAGCTTGAGAGGTACTGCAAAGAGGAATGGGCAAACAAGACAGGTGTGCCAAGCTTGTGGCATAATTTTCAAAAAGACATCCATTCAAAAAATGACTACTTTTGACTACTTTTTGGATGCACTGTAATTTTTGATCACCAGAAATGTATATAGGGCTACATTCTCAGAATGAGCCTATGTTAAGAATGTCTGTTGGTGATGCAGATGTTAAGCAGACAGTATATTAATACTGTAATAAGACTTAGTTGGAATGCAGTTGCAATATATTGTATAGTCAACAAAATATGCAATAGGGACCTTTAAAGGGCACATAAGTTACCCCTTTTTTCATATTTATTAAAAGTCTTTTGTTTCCCCAGAATGTGTCTGTAAAGTTTCAGCTCAAAACACCCATCAGAGTATTTATTATAGCTGTTTGAAATGTCTGTATTATAGCTGGGAAAAGGTTGTTGCTGTTTTTTTGCACTGGGCCTTTAAGGCGAGTCGTCCCCGCCCACCAATCCCATGTGCCTGTCAGCAACATGCCTCAACACGCCCTCGGCTGCCTCAGGAAGCAGATCTCACTTAACGTTTGTGAGAAATACTACAGTAAGAACTTTACCAACAACGAGTTCACGCGCACACACAGGCACATACATAGCATAGACAGGCAGACACACGCATATACATAGCGTAGACAGGCACACACACATTGCACAGAGCAGACACACACGCACATACATAGCGTAGACACGCAGACACACTCACACACACACATAGCATAGACATGTAGCGCAACACACACACACATACATAGTGTAGACAGACAGACACACACATACAAAGCGCAGACACACACACACACAGAGAGACAGTGACAGAGACGCGGCTGTGCTGATGAAGTGAATCTGAAGTGAATGGCTGTACTTCATTACACACGTGCACACGTTTTAAAACATGTTAAACTTGTAAAACTCACTCTTGATCACGTCTGATGATGATTGATGATTCTAGCAAACTAAAACAAACCTTTTATTCCCGGTTGCTTTGCGCTCGTCCTGTCTCGTCGATATGAGTATATGCAATAGTAAGGAGACATGTTAATGCGCGCAGCTGTCAACCAATATTTGTGGGCGGGGGGGACCGCACTCCTACGTAAAGTTGCGGTCGATCTGAAAACCGCTTCAATTGGTCCATCGTTTTTATGTTGTTAAATTATAAAAAAGGACTGGGTGGGTATATTTCACCCCAATATGACAGCATATACACTATACTTACACACATGTATGTCCAAACAGCTTGAAAAGTAGATTTTTCACCATACGTGCCCTTTAAAATTAAGTCACACAGAATCACAGAATAGTTTCAAAAAAGTAGACAAAACTTAAAACACAAAGAAATATATTGATTCCAAAACTGTTTTAAATAAACAGAAACTAGTGATTGTGTTTCTATAGCTTTCTTCAGTGTCCTCTAATGTACAATAACGGATCGGTTGTCAGATCCAATATGTATTTTCTGCACAAAAAAGATCATCAATAACTCAACATGAATAATGACATTTTAATGTCTTTATTTACAGCTCTGCTAAATGTGCTTTGACAGTTTTATTGTGACGGTGGCAGGGAGCCCAATGTACATTATAATCAGCTATGAAAGAAATGCTCTGACATTGGGAAAAACTGCTGAAAAGACTCCTTGACAGGGATTCACGCCGAGCTCAGGATTCAAGACAAAGCTGCGGATTCGCACAAAACTAACTTGTTTTTAATTCCTGGTCAAGGACGGGTCGCATATTCGCAGCGCGGTGACGGACATGTTGTGATCGATTCATAAGAAAGCTTATAGAGTCAGCGAACAGATCAGAAGCGAATTAAACTATTGAAAGTTTATGTGCACCAAAAAGCATGGTCGGCAGTGTATGTGGTACTGCTACAGAATGTGTTAGCGTTATGTCCTGTGCCCATCAACGAGAAGACTTATTGATCTTGGCAGGAGTATAGAGGCGAAGGCAGATACAGTGTAGAAGACTATCCTCATCAATATTCCCCGCTGTGCAATCATATCTCCGCTTACCGGCCCTCAGGGAACGAACTCAACGTTGCAACTGCGAACACGACTAACATATGTAATTATTTGTAAGACATAGGCTACTTCATAAATGATTGATGTGTGGAGGAAAGCAAGATCTAGAACAAGTTCTGTATGTAAGAAGCAGTTCTCACATCTGTGTCTGAGTCTGTTTTGCTGAATAGCGAAACATAAATGTGCTCTATGTAGGTTTTTGACTCTTCGATTTTGCGTCAACGGACAATTTAAGCTTCTCAGCTGATGTTTAAGTGCTAATTATAAATGACCTTATAATGTGGATTTTTATAATTCTGGGGCACATTTCAGAAGCTGCTACTGCCCTCATTTTTGGCTGTATATTTGCAGTCTCCCCCCATTGATGTACATTTTTGTGTTTACATACATTGTCATGATGGTAGATGGTTGAATTGATTTTATTTTTAAATTGTAGTTTTCTTAAAATCAGAGTTCGACAATAAGGATGGCCCAATATTTGTGCAAATGCCATCTTAGAATCGAGAAGCAGCATGACTGTCAAATATAATTTTGTTTGTGCGGGCAAAAGAAAGCCGGTTGAATTCCGTATGAGAGGATAATCACTCGCGCCAACAGCTGATGTGATGCGTGCGACTATTTAGAACACGTGCGCGCTCCTGTTTCCTTGCTTGAAACAACTGTGCCTGGAAACCCAACTGGTGTGATCGGTTCTCTTTCAAATAGACTAGACAAAAAGTTCTGTTCATGCACGCACAGTCCTGCTGCTTTCAAGAGCTCCAGATTGGTGTTTTTGTACGCAGCACCGGTTTCTTTCACTTTAGATATTATTTAGACAGGATATAGGGTCTTAACTTCCCATTCATGTGTAGTTAACTGGTGTCAAATGATTTTTTTTAAAGATTTTTTTTTTGTTGTTGTTAAATAAAAAGTATAGTACAGAGCTATAGTTTCCTTGTTTTGAAACATTGTTTAAAATTTGTGGCTAAGAAATAATTATTTATATTTGGTATGGTGAGAGATAAATTTGGTAAATCATTTGAGCTCTGAAAAGTCATGTGAAATAAAAACTAATTATAATACAACACAATGAAACCATGACCCATGTGCTCATGCTTTCTGAGCAAGCTCATTCACAACATACACAAAATGAATTAGGAGGCATGTGGACATTCCACAAAATCAAAGACAAGTAACTTTAGCATGTCAAAGTCATATTTATGCATATAAAACATATTTCCCCAACAAAAAAATTGTGGCTAGTAAAAATGGCGAGTGGCTAGTAATGTTGGTAAACTATAACATAAAATGTGTACCCCTGTGTCACTAAACCACTCGATCCGTGACAGAATAATACAACATATTATTATTAATCTTAATCAATCATGAAACAAATAAAAAAATAATAAAATTTTTTATATATATATATATATATCACAAAAGGCTTCAACACACACATACACACACACACACACATACGTTTTAATCAGCTATAGTTTAAAAATACACAAACTTTTCTCCTTTACAAATTTATTATGCAGTCTCTATCGCCATCTCTGTCAGCTGTCTTTGTTCTGCTCAATGACAGGTTAGTGACCACCAACGCGCTGAATCTCCAAAATTATAAATAGTTTAAAATAGGCACTATTCTTATAAATAAATTCTACATTCTCTTCTAATTCTACATTCTCGCCTAAAAAAGCTTCAAAAGTAGCAATGGCAGCAATATTTGTCAAACTGTAGAGTGTCCCCAGCTTGTTGCTCTATGAACCAGACAGTGTTAATTTTGACAGCAAATTCTGATTTAGTCTTAGTCTTAGTCTTTGGAATAATACACCATTCAGTTTTAGTCCTATTTTAGTCATCTGAAATCTTTTAGTCTTAGTCTAGTTTAGTTGACTAAATATCATAAGAGTTTTAGTCTTAGTTTAGTCTTAAGTCTATTAGTCTTAGTCTAGTTTTAGTAGACCAAATATTAGCAGATTTTTCTCCATAATTCATGTAATTGTAAGTATAATATAATATATGGAAGCATATATAGAATACAGGCACATATCTAATTGTTGTAATAAAAAAATGTTTATTACATGTCAGAAACATGAGTCTTTTTCACAAAAAATAACCACAAGACCTGCTCTCCCTGAACAATATACATGCTCCCTGAAAAAGATATGCATTGTCCTTGAATTATATGAAACGCATATGACATTCTTTCAAGATAAAGTACAGCATTCATACAGTGTTTTAATTAAATTGCTAATTTTAGTTTTCTTTGGAACTGTTAGTCTCCCATCTATCATCCCCATCATTAGCACAAAGTCCTCATCCTCAATTTTTGTGTGTGGTAAACCTGTCCGTCCTATCCATCTAGCTATGGCCTGCTCCTTGGTCTGTTGTTCCTTTGATTCAGTCTTGTACTTTGAAGACCTTAGGAAATCTGAGATGGCCTGCTGCTGTGTTGTACTAGTAGCATCACTAGCTTTATTTCCACCTGGCCCATGGTCATCAGACATCTTCTGTATCTATGAGGATATATTAATGATATACAAAGTTGTGATATTTTCTTCTTTCTTGCCATATAACACACACACACACACACACACACACACACACACACACACACACACACACACACACACACACACACACACACACACACACACACCTTTTGTCGAGTCATATATAACACCACAACATCTATTATAATAGTACACATATTTATATTAATTAATTCAGCGAGACAATTCGTTTAATCAATACTATTTAAAGTTAATTTCCTTTGGCTTCAATTTTATTCCAAGTTTAGCAGAATCACGGTGGTTTATCTTATAGGATAACCTTAACGTTAGTGTTTATGCATACCTTGGTGTGGATTTCTGGATAAACCGTCTGTAAATGTCGCTTCAAGTTGGTGGTGTTTTTCCCAGCGATTTTTACTCCACATGGTTTACAGACGCTCTTGTTGTCCTTGTTGTCATATGTGAAGTTTGACCAGATGTCAATTCTTCGTTTTCGTCCTAGACCAAGCTCTGACATTTCTGTCTGTCTGTTCATGAGACGCTGCCCTCGGACGGAGTGAACAAAACTTTAGCGTGTTGCTAACGAGAAAAGTCAACTTAAATTAACCAACGCTTTGTAACCAAGTATAATGTGTAACTAAATATAATGTATAACAAACGTCATCATAACTTGAAAACCGCGGCTTTTGTTTTGAAAATGGCTTTGCCAAGATCAACCTGCCCTCAAAAGATTCGCTCTGACTGGATTTCCCCACAAAAGGGTAGTTCTTATTGGATCTCTTCTCCATTCGTCCCGCCCCAACATTTTCCTCTCGTTTTTATTCGTTGACTAAAGTGTCAGTTAAATTTCGTCATTGTCTTCGTCATCGTATCTGACTTTTTATTTAGTTTTTATTTAGTTTTCGTCTGTAAAAAATGTTCGTTGACGAATATTTTTCGTCATAGTCTTCGTCAACGAAATTAACACTGGAACCAGACAGAACTGTTATATATATATATATATATATATATATATATATATATATATATATATATTTATTTATTTGAAAGAAATTTAAAACCCAGGCTCATTCTGAATAAGTACCCCTGTATACATTTCAGGAGAGCGCCAAATACATCCCAAAACATACATTATTTTACAGTTTTTGTTTTCATGAATCCATCAGAGGTCGCTGTAAGCTGTAAGCTTTTTCAGATCTCAAATTTCTTTCGTGAGTGCTATCATGCTTGCTGTTTTCGCGTAAATTCACCAGAGCTGTAGACTGACTAAATAAATTAACAATCGGCCCGCCCACCCCTTATCCAAACCCAACAAATATTGTTCTCAAAAGCATTGATTGACCCTCCAACCGCCTTCCTAAACCCAACAGACAGTGCTTTTTAAAAAAGCAATGCAGAAAAAGAAAAGCCCTTTGCAGCCACCTGATTTTTACCACAGATCTTTTCAGATCTTACCATATTCTCACCCTGTTTTTTACTTGTTTTTCTTATTTGTTGATTTTTATTTTTATTTACCTGCTTTGTAGAACCGTTTTTCACCAGACTTGAACCCTGTCATCATGGTCAAATGGGTAACAGCAAGCCACTGGTCAAACTGGTAACAGCGAAAAAGCCATCCATGCTGAGGTAAGTGATTAGCTGGTAAGCAAAAAAAAAAAAAAAACAGAAGCCATCGGCGGTTTCATACCGCCCCTTAGCATTGTTAAAAATGCTAAATGTAGCCATACTTAGCTGTGGCTACATAATTTGTGCTCTCCAGAAATATATACAGTAGTACATTTGGATGTAGTACTATGGTACTATGGTTGAACTATGTTGGAAATTAGAAGTTAGAAATAATAGTTTTATGTCAAAGCAACAAAAGACAATGTCATTAGTAGCCTTCATTATTAACTTCTTGTTTATTGAACTGTGTTGTAAAACTTCCTGTTATCATGTGCAGCACAGTGTTTCATAACAGCAAATTAAAAGTTCACTAATTAAGGAGCAGGACTGATAAAGTCCATATTCTGAGCTTTTAAATGACACCTATTTGTGGAGATGTTTTTAATTAGCTCTGCTCTCCAGCTAAAAGGATCACGGCATTAAAACAAAAATCACCTATTGGTTATCAATACTGGCTGCCAATGATTAGTTATCAGAAGGAAATCCTGCATTAGTGCACTCCTGATTTGCTTGGTCAGTGACTGCATGTGTGATAAGCAGAGTAAAGCAGTCTTTACTGCGCAATAAAATACAGACAACATAAAGGCTCCGTAGCTGACAGTCTAATTCACAGACAATTTTTCTCTCTCTGTATGCTTTCTTTCCAAAATGAACTGCAGGTTTCTTGAAAAGCAGCTTGTGGCTGAAGTGAAAATGAAGGTGTCATGTCTGAACAGAGGGGGTGTGGGAAACACAATGCAAAACTGCAGACGAGAGAAAGTTAAAGGGAGATGGGGAGGATGGAGAAAAAAAGAAAGAGAGAGAGAGAGGTTTAGGTTGAAAATAAAAGCAAAAATTACAGCGAGAGCAAGCTGTGACAGGCTGGTTTGTATATAAAAGCACAGGCAACGAGGTGAAACGACTGAAGAGAGAGAGGAGAAACAGTGCCCTCTTCTGACGCCTCACACATCTGGGTGTGTCAACAGAGCTTCAGCTTTATATCAGTCTTTCTGACTTTTCACCTGCTGCTGAATATTATATTACTGTTCTAGAAAGTTCAGACAAGGCCTGCGGCTGCAATCTTCCTGCTGCTAAACGTACAAATGCGAATTTTAAGTGGCTTATAGATGCTGAGCACATGGTGAGGTTAATTCTGTGTCCTTGACAGACCCGCACAAATGCGGTCAGTAAATATCTTTAAAAACAAAAATGTACGTGTAGTTAAAAAAACAACAATGTAGTACTGTAGCATTGCTAGAGATGCTAGAGATGCCGATTATTTGTGCTTCAAACTGATCTATTTGGCATCTATTGATTGTGCCGGGATTACTTAATGGTATGACTTCATTTATTCATAATTCAGATTGTACAAGGTGTGATAAATTCTGATGCTGATGTTGCATGCTGAACAGTAACATTAAAATGGTATTTTTTAAATAGTGTAGTTTGGATAAAATTTGCACGTTCTACATCAGCCATGTGTTTCCAGTGCACTTCAATTAAGTTGTAGGTCATGAAGGTATATTTTACCTACATTTTTATGAATACTATGTATTCACGCAAACTACTTCACTCACATACACTGTAAAAATCCATTATTTTACTTTTTTCTGGCAGCTGGGGTGCCGAAAAAAAACAAAAAAACAAAAAATAACAATCGTTAAATGACAGAAATTTACCGGAAATTTAAATTTGAGGAAATTACTGTAATTTAACGTGTTTTTTTATGGTACATTTCTGTAATTGAATTGCCGTAATTTTTACAGTACATTTCTGTAATTTAATGGCTGTTATTGTACAGTAAATATCTGTAATTTAATGGCTGTTATTTTATGGTAAATTTCTGTAATTTAACGACTTTATTTTACAGTACATTTCTTTATTTTAATTGCTGTTATTTTATGGTAAATTTCTGTAATTTAACAGCCGTTATTTTACAATAAATTTCTGTAATTTAATGGCTGTTGTTTTGTGGTGTATTTCTGTAATTTAACGGCCGTTATTTTACGGTAAATTTCTGTAATTTAATGCCCATTATTTTATGGTAAATTTCAGAAGTTTAACGACCATTATTTTACAGTAAATTTCTGTAATTTAATGCCTGTTGTTTTATGGTATATTTCTGTAATTTAATGGTCGTTTTTTATGGTAAATTTCTGTAATTTAATGGCTGTTATTTTACAGTAAATTTCTGTAATTTAACGTTATTTATTCTACACTAAATTTCTGTCATTTAATGGCCGTTATTTTACAGTAAATTTCTGTAATTTAACAGCCATTATTCAATTTTTTTTATACTAAAATAAATACTTGATTTTTTTTAAGTGTACTTTTTTGGCTATTACTGTATATATGTTATATTTCAAGAGTTCCCACTTAGATATGCTTGGCACTTATAGCAGGTTTGGCATGCTGTCCCGGGAGAGAACCCTGAGCTCGGAGATATTTGAGCCCAGGGCTCCCGCCCGGTCTAGAAGCATATCAGGAGAACCGAGATCAGGTAGGTCTCGATCGCTCCCCCTTTAGAAGGGGAGAAAAAGGAGGAGATGGGGTGGAAGGGGGGATTCTTCCAAAATGAAGATAGTGCAATGAGGAGAAAGTGATCCATTTATACTAAGCTAGGATCATTCTGATTGGATTATTACTGATTACGGATGAGTGGCCAGCGGTGCACAATCATATCACGTGCTCCTCTCGAAATTAGTTTATGAAACTTCACTTCAAGAGTTCCCACTTAGATATGCTTGGCACTTATAGCAGGTTTGGCATGCTGTCCCGGGAGAGAACCCTGAGCTCGGAGATATTTGAGCCCAGGGCTCCCGCCCGGTCTAGAAGCATATCAGGAGAACCGAGATCAGGTAGGTCTCGATCGCTCCCCAAAAAATGCCTCTAGCTCGGGACAGCAGCCGAGTATTTCAAAGAATTTCCCCCAAAAAGCTAGAAAGTTTTTACTATATCCGGCTGCTGGATATAGTAATTAAGGAATGAAGAAAGAGTAGGGGGCTCCAGTTGGAGCAAAGTTTGAAACTGACTTCTGTGGAAGCCAGAGCGGGGGAGGGGGTTGGGTGGAGACTAGTGAAGGGGGGCCATAAGGGGTGGGCGGGGTTGGCTCATTAAGAGTCAAAAATATGCTCGAGGAACACTCCAAATGGAGATAGAGCAGGGAAGTGGCAGCGCTATATATAAATATATATGTATATATGAGAGAGTATATAAATATATATATATATAATGGGGTAATCTAAGGCCTGGAGGGGGTGATCAGGAGACTTCTGTGAGTCAGAATGGGCGCTGCGGGAGTTGGGTGCAGCAATTTTTTATTTTATTTTGCCATCTCTAGCAGAAATCGTGAAGTGTGATTTGGGCGGTGGTGATTTCTGCTAGAGGGTGAGTGGCAAGTTTGGCCAGACTCTTGCTGGAGTCAATGCTCGTGGAACACTCTGACTGGAGATAGAGCGGGGAGTGACAGCGCTCTATATAAATATATATCTATAAACGAAAGTCCATAGATATACATATATAATGAGTTTCAGTGGCCTGGGGGGGGCAGTGACTGACCCCTGCGGGGGTCGGCGCCCGGGGAACAGGGCAAGCTGGCCTACTCTAGCAGGAGTCTGGGAAAGGGGATTTGGACGGTGAAGACTCCTGTTAGAGGGTGACGGGATGAGTTAGGTGCTCCAGGAACACTCCGTTAGGAGATGGAGCGGGGGAGTGACAGCGCTATTATAGATATATATATCTATGTACAGGTGTATATAGATATATATATATATATATATATATATATATATATATATATATATATATATATATAAATAAAGATTGCTAAGGCCTGGAAGGGACGGTGAGACGACCCCTGCGGGGGTCGTAGCTCGGGGTAACACTTCTGCGGAAGTCAGAGCTTTAGTGGGGGCGGGGTCCGGCAGGAGTCGGGAAATGGGAGGGGGCTGTGAAGACTCCAGCGGAAACGGCCAGGGTGGCGGGGTGACGGGGGGCTTGGATGAAACTCCAATTACCTATGTGGCTGGGGAAGGAAACTGAGTGTTACTCAGGCTAGAAGGAAGAAAAAGAAGAAGGTAAGGTGGCTGGG